TGGCACTAGATATTACTTATTTAATATCTGCACATAAACATGTTATTTTGCTTACTGATCATGAAGCCATCACATAAAGGCATGTAAGCAACAGGGTGACACTGAGTGAAAGTGGTCATTACATCATCCACACAAACCCAGCAGAGATAATGTGAGAAGGAATGAAAATCCAGTAGCTCTACAGAAGATTACATGGCTGAGTCTACTGATTAGCAAAGCTTGAAATCAAAGTAGGGTTTGATCTGGTATTTTTACAGGACTCTGAAAGTGACTGAAGCCAAAGAGAACCTACTGGTACACAGAGGGCCTGTAGATAGTCTTCTAACCCCCCCCCAAAAAAAAGAAAAATGACTCGTATACTGAAAATCCTGTAATAATTCTTTTTGCTGTAGTTGAATGCAGTAATTTACGAGCTTTAATGCCATTAAGAAAAGCAGCAAAACAAAGAAACAGCATCAAATGCTTTTGAGATTACAACCGAGAACGTGTTGTTGAAAACTGAGTTTAAAGTGACAGATCATCTCTGTGGGCAAACAACCAAAGTAATCTTGTAATGGAAAAAGCATGCTATGAATAATGAGGCAGCTCTCTCCAGTACTGAGCTGACAGTGGATCCAGGTGTCCAAGCCTCATCCCCGCTTTGCATCATCCCCATCGCCTCCAACCTAACAGGCCTCTAGCAACAACATGCCTGAGGCTGTCTGTAATATCATTTACTGTGAGCGTGTCAAACTGCCGCTGGGAAAAAGCCATGGGGATGAGATATGAGCAAATCTCCACTTGCAGGTTTAGATGAAAATCGCTGGACTGCAAAACCAATAAAGCAATAACAGCCACTAGACAGAGTATGGATGGCAGGCCTCAGACTCACCACTGAACTCCCTCGCGTGTCGCGAGACGAGACTAAAGCTGCTAAAATTACTTCAAAAAGCCACAAATTAAATCTATAGAAAGTAGCAACCCTAAGAAACAACACTCCTCAATTTCTACTGCAAGTAGGGCTACAACGATTCCTTGGCATCATCGATGACGTCGACGACAACAAATAGTCGACATTTACATTGTCAATGTGTCGTATACTAATACCACGTAAATGCATGTTTGTAACTGCAATACACTACAGGAAGCTATGGGGGCAGTATCGCCTCCATCATCTGCCAAGACTGGAGTCAAAACGAATGAAAAAGATCGCAACTGCAAACGCAAAGCACGAGGACGGAAAAAAAATTAATTGTCTACATGACTGTTACCGCGTCATCATATCTAATTCTGTTTTGTTCTGTTTTAGTAGTATTAGGCACAGGCATATACTAGTTTTAAAAAAATCCAGTGTATTTGCTACTTTTGTCTTACAGAAAGGTCATGAGTTATAGTGGCTTGAACTGTGTAGACAAAGGATGTGTTTGGATCTGAAGTCAAAAATCAACTCAGCTCATCTCAACAGAATAGGGTGGAAAAATAAATGCATCGGCATCAGCGCGAGGCAGAGGAGACAAGGTTATCTGAGGCACAATGGGAGCCCTGGTCCACTTGTTACCATTCTGGCCAGCCCTCTTCTCTCAGGACAGATTAAGGCTGAGCTGGAAGGCATGCAGTGAGCACAAAGAGCTTTACGCATTTTCTTTTTTAACAGCTGCATGGAGGGCATGTTAAATAGAAGCTAGCTGTATACAAACTGTTACGTATGTAATGCTTTTGTCGGGAACAGAACGCTTCTCAGTTCTAGCCTGAAACGGGACGATGCCGCGCTCGCTTGGTCGGAGATGAGAAATCTTTCCACATTGCCCTCCAGTCAAGAAGTCAGGTTCAGAATTCATGTTTAAAGAAATGCAAAGGGATACTTTTTATCCCAACGTGCAGTGCATCAGGGTCTAGCAAAATATGAACGTGGTTTAAATCCATAACTCGCACTATTTTCATCCAGTCAGCCAGACTTTTGGATGTCTGAGTCCCCCGTGTTAAAAGCAGTCAATGTCAGTAATAGCTAACACAGCAGGAGGTCCACTGCATCTCTCAAATACTGCTTTTTCTTTCTGCATTCTGCACTCTCTCCAAATCACACCAAAACACAATCAATACCGCCTGTAAGAAGACAGGATACGCCTCATCAATAATGGAAGTGTGTTTTGTGAGGAGCGCAATGCTTGATTTTGCCTTGTGTCTTGCTTGTATTTTATTGGCCACCCAGTGAATAATAACAGCATCTATCCAGAGTCAGCTATTACAAGGCGGCAGGGGAAAACCACCCAGACAGACACAATGATAAAACACAAAAGGACATGCTGCAGATGAACAGTCAGACACACATGAATACTAACAAATGGAAGTGCGCGCACACACACAAGCAGCATCTATCTACCATTTAGCAGCAGCTCATAAAATAACAGAGGCGCCTCCGGCCAATTTGCCAGACGGAACGTTCCAATTTGACACAAACGCCTCATAAGCATGCACCCTCACACCACACACACACACGCACATAAACGCACACATCCAGCAACATTAGCATAAACACACAAGTCAAGCTGGCAACTCAAACAGATAAACAAGCACAAAGCCACATTTTCACAGGTATAAGCTCACAGTATCCAACGACTTAAATGAGATTTTGCGTATCATTATTGGCAGTGATTATTACTAACACATCTATCGATATTAACCATAGCTCTCCTCATCTTTTCACCATTTACTTTCGTAATTCAAATGAATCAAACACGACACAAAGGCAAAGGCTGCAGCCTACACAGTCATTCCATCCAGCTATTGTTTAGCAGGTTATGTGCTAATTGTGTCTTCTTTACAAAGCTGTGACACAGGGCTGGATAGCTCTGGATAGCTGTGTGCCTACTTCATCAACTCTAAAAGCCATAGACCACAGATGAAGACATGCAATTGACTAATAACACAAGGAGGTACAAGAAAAAGCTTGGGAACGCTTTGGAATAACCTGGATTTCTCTATTGATTACTGACAGAATGTGACCACCTAAGACAACTGTGGACATGCACCATCTGAACTAATAGCACACAGGCAGTTTGAAGTGGCCAAAGCAAAACTGTAGAGATGCAAGAAGCCTGAAAATGCTACACGTATATTTCTAACATTCTGGCTGCAACAGAAGCATATTTCATTTCTAAAGCATGGCAGAGGCTTGGGTTTGATTTGCTGACTCTGAGCTTGGTTGGCTTTCAGCACTGAAGAGAACACTGAATTACACTCTGCATCAAAAAAGCTCAGGGGCACCCATAGTACACAAACTACTTTTCCGGGATCCACCATGATCTGACTCACATGAAGATCTGACCATTTTTATACGTAATAAAATGAGAGATCTTCATAGCTCCAAAGGATTCACAAATGTACAAATGCCGTACAGCAACATCAAACATGAGCACGTATGAAAAACAGCTTTGCTAGCGCAATTATTTTGCCCATTTATCAATTAAGAGAACTATTTTCAGAACTTTTGGTTCATAAAGATACCAGTAACATTTTCTATATCAGAAATTTGGACAACCTTGCTGACAAAAATTCCGTCTTAACTGGGCACTGGTTATTTAAAACTACTATTATTTCTTCACTTCAGCAGCTTCTGTTTTTTAAAATGCCTCAGGCACGAGCTAAGCCAGGTATGAATATTGTATTTGTTACAAGAATGAACTCAAGAACCTTTGTGCTCTCTGAGCTCTCGGGGAACTGAGGACTCAGTTAGCTGGGCTGCACTCGTACTAATAGATTTACAGTGTATAACCAACAGGTCAAATTAGCCAGGCAACCTGGCCAATCAAAGCAATCTGTGCTTTTAGGGAGGCGGTTTTTAAGAGACAGAAGCTAAAACTGAGCATTTCTGGTACAGGATATGAAGAGCTATTGCAACAGACAACAGAAGTAAAAAAAAAAATTTTCTGAACAAGCATCCAAACATATCCCAAAATAAAATGATGAATCTGCAACTGAGCATAATACGAGCACTTAAAGTTTGCATAGTTATGAACTTGCAGACTATTCACAGCCAAAATTTATCAGCTCCCATTTGCCCAAAGGAGCTTTGCAGTGAGTTTTAGCCCCCTGCATAGCCTGTCTAGCCTGCAACTTTAGTGTTTTGGTTAATTGGCGCAGTTCTTAGTGGGCGGTCCTTCTCAGTCAATAAGTTCTAAAAAGCCTCTGTACACTTCAGACTACACAGCAAGCAGCAGACAGGCAGAGTGGAGCATCAGCTGCTGAAGAGCCAGATAGTTTTGTACAAGTGCTGGCAGAGACCAAAAAAGAAAGACTTCACAGACTTCCAAACATATAAATATATAGATAGAGATAGATAGTTTAAGCTATAATTCAGTCATTTTAACATTTTATATGAATCGTTTCTGTAAAACATATTTAATTTGAACAGCAGGTAATGTTGTTAATGTTTTGAAAATGTACAAAATGTTCAACTACAACGAGTGTAGTGGCTGGATCATTGTGATCATCATAGATGGCAGATAAAGAGGTGCATACCAATAAACAAATCCCGATTGTCTCTCCTTGTACAAAAAAGAATTTCTCACCAAGCATTATCAGCTACACTGTCTAATTTTAAACCTAACACTACAACTTTACTGTGATAAGGCTGACACATTGGAGTGTTAGCCCAACAGTGAGATTATTTGAGTGTTTATTGCTCACTAACAAAGTGCAGATCTATGCACTAAATAAAGACTTGTTAAATATCTGCAGTATCTCAAATACATTTAGATTTCTCCTGTTCGTCACGTGCATCCTCTTGTTGCAGCCTCAGCGATCCTATGCTCGTGTTTGCAAACATTTTTTTCCCCTAATGTGATATGCATCCTGCTGGAGGCACTATCGCATGACCTTGTCCACAAGAGAAGGAGCCGTGTGTGTTTGTCTGAGTGTTAGGAGGATGGTGTGTGTGTGTGGACATCACGCATGCATCCAAGTGCGACTTATGACTGTGTGAGCAAACTGCCGATGGGTAAAGGCGGCAGTATCTGGCTTACCAAAGATATTTGTGGAATGTCCTTTCTTGGCGATGGGCTTTAGCTCGTTGTGACCCCAGCCGTACTGTCTGTAGCTGTCCCAGGCATGTTTCATCATCTAAAAAAAACAAACAAAAAAAACAGTATGTTAGAAGAAGCAAAGTCCTTTGACACGTGTGACATCACTGTCACAAAAAACAAAAGGGACACAATCATACAGTCATCATGGTGGTATGATTTCAAGTTGCACTGATATAATTTGCATTTGAGCATTACATTGGTTTATTTACAGCAGCTGTTGTAGCCTGGGTTAGTTGTCATAGGAACGTGAAATCCACCAATCAATTCAATGCAAAACAATAGTGTTTTTCTACACACAGGCCCAATGGCAAAGCCTCGTCTTCTCTCTCTATATATCATTATATTGCATTACTTCCTTTCAACCAATCATACAGACATCAGTCCACTGAACAGAGAAGAATAAGACTCTACTTTTCATATGAGCTTTGAAAAGAGGCTGGAAAAGAGGAGACTCGGGGAGGGAAGGAGGATAAAAAGAGCAAGAGATTGGGAGATGAGCCCTGACATGGAGGCTGATGCTGTGAAGAGGCGCTCCAGGGCAAACAGAGAAGATGACACAGCCAAGGGAGGAAAGAGTGCCAGCTTTTACTGAATCAGTGCTGCTCTCTATCCATTTCAAAACACCTCCTCCCCTTCGCAACTCTTACACATGTGGCATCAACAACAGAAAAAGAAGGCACATTTCCTGTCCATGTGGCCGTGTATTGTATATCACAGTCTCATTTATATGGATATCTGCTGATTTCTTGCCCTCTGTTGCAGTCTGTCTACATGACTGTTACCTCATCATCCTTTCTGGTTAATGATGATCTCGGTTTTGACAAAGTGACTAAGATGTAGAGCTCTTCCCAATACCAATTGAAAGCTGGGGTTCCCCCAACTACAAGCTACAAAATTTACAAAAATGACAAAGTGCATCTCTGGCCCATAAAATATAGACCTGTCATTTTACGGCCACCAAGCTACGCCAGTTTCCCTCTCTGTCCAACAGCCTGCCTCTTTATGCCACCATGTGCAGATGAGCATCCAAATCCTCTTCCAACTTTCTCTCTCCTTGGAGCAGGCATGCAGCCAAGCTAATAAAGACAAGGGCCAGAAGTTTCATTGTGTTCTTGGCTTCGTGGCTTTCCATGACGCACTCCGTTCACGCACCGAGGATTATAAATCAAATTAATACGCACCGGGACATGGACACTTAAACGTTGGCTGACTCCCTCTGATATGTGTTGATTGGACGCTTCATCAAATTCTGATTGGCTCATATGCCAAGGACAAGCGCTGCAGTGCGGGTAGCTTGACAATGTTGACAAACTGCTTATTTAAAGGACCTTGGAATACTAATTGGACATTAGGCTACAAAATTCAGTGATTGATTCTGACAGCTACCGCTTGCCATCACAGTATCTTGGGAGATACATGCAAAGGATTGGGGGGGAAGGGGGTGGATGGGCTTGCACTGACCCAGTGGCTGATGCACTCTACAATCAGAAGTAAAGCTCCTCAGTAATTTGCTGCAGAGAGGAAATAACAGCCAAAATGAACACTCCTGTGACCTGTATTCATCAATATCCCTATGAAAGGGCACTGCAGGATGCTAGAAGGTGGCTATTAGCACCATAGATATTATTATTATTAGGCTTTATGTTGTACTATGTAGTTCAGAGTAGGGAGCAGGAAATTCTGTTAAATTATCCATGTTCTTGTTCCACACTTCAAGTGTTGCTGGAATTAATCTGTTCATGGACACCTTCATAAGAACTTGAAATACCAATTTCATAACGGAAAACATGAAAAAGTTTTGTGTTTAAGCCAAACTGAAAACAAAGCATCTAACACCGTGATAAACTGTGCAACAAAGGGTATGTTTAAGTTAATAAACCGTGTTCCCACCCACACTGCACCAAAGATTCCTCCACAAAATGTGCCGTGACACACGTCTTTACCTCTAGTCAGTGCTGCTGGTGATTACTTCTCTTTTCGGTTAGTACCCACTGTGAATTACTACATCTCGGAGTGTGGAGACATCCAACAGCTTGTGGTGTAGGATAAGGGGAGCCTGTTCAACTCTTCAGAGAAGCACAAGTAGAAACACAACGCTGTCGTTTCACATGATTCATCTTTTCTGTGGCAGCTGCTTATACTTATACTATTATCTTGCATATACTTTTAGTTTTAAAATCCCACTTCTATGCTATTTTGCATCCCCCCCCCCCTCCAACTCTTCGATTTGAACTGCAATGAATGGACAAGCTAATGTTTTCCTTAGTTTTTTTTATTGGACAATGGCAATTTGTTTAAACCATTACTTACAAGATAAGAGGATTTTTCCCCCTATAAAAAAGTATAAATTTGTAGCTTTCTCATTTGGAGTCTAGGCTGAATCTTACTATCTGCAAGTCTACCAGATCCTGCCTCATTAGTACTTGTCATGACTTGGTAAACATCCTACTGCTTTTTTGTTCTGCCAGGTCTGAAGAACAAACTACTTCAAAAAATGCAGAAAAATATAGCATTTATCCAGGTATAACAGCCTGATGTGTTTGTTGTTGCATTGTTTTTTCTTTTTTCTGCTGAAGACCGAAAACTGAAAGCTGCAAGATGATGCAAGAGGTAGTACATAAGCGTTTTATTTATTTATATCCGTTATCTGTCCAAGTATACATCTCACAGATTAAAAATCTCTTTTTCTAAGAGAGTTTAGAGACAAGGAGGAAAATGTTTTGCGTTCGGAAACAGCTCACCAGAAAATGTCTTCACTCACGATGAATTATTATTGCGATTTTGGCGAAATGCTGAGAATTGCAACAACATACATTTATCATCTTTTTAAGCTGTAAATTATGTCCTCAAAGTTAGACTGTCAAAATTTTGTTTATCCGATAAAATAAACATAATGTTATCTTACTTGGTTATTTTTTTTGCAACAAAATGGCATTAGCAAGTATACCAGTACTGCAACCAAAACCTGCCATAAATGTTTGTCACAGTCTGCAACTAATGAGGTCAAGTTGGGAATTATGTGCAATCTGTTTCTGATAATGCAGCAATTAACTGATAACTCGTTGAAGCTAAGTGTGCCCAGTGTTGGATGCTCTTTGAGTCGAGCCGGTTTCATGCAAGTCTGTTCAACTAACGTCATCTCAGGATGACTGTGCATGGGATGAGCCCTCTTGTTCATAGTATTCATTCAACTATTTAAATGTATTTTTTGAAATACTGATATTTGGTGTATCAGCATCCCTTGACATGTATCAAGATATGGCACGTCAATCCAGAACACCAATAAAGGGAGACAGTAGCACTGTCAAGAAATATGAATATGTCTGTATGTTCATAGGCATCTTTTGTTTTGTAACCATTATTTCTGAATGGCTACATTAGCCAGTGATCGAAGCGCTCACTTGTAGTATAGAGAATTTTTAGAAACAATCTCCTGGGAATTTCTCCTTATTTTTCCAAATCCAGGCCATTTTTTAAAAATTAAAAAGTCATTAGTCATAAACTGGATCATCATCAATCAGCACACTCGTCTCAGTAAGGCAGCCTGTCCCCATTTCAACTGCATAATGAAACACATTCACACATGGTTTCAGTGTCTGAAGACCAACTTAATAAAATCGTGTCTTGTTGTGTTCTGTGCCTAAGGATCGGGAAACCTGTGACTGAAGGTTTTTATTATCGCCCTCTACAGTGTTTTGCTTATTTTCATGCTTCCCAGTTTCTATACTGCAACTGCAAAAGTATTAATCATGCAACATTATACACTCCAGCTCACTCTGGAATGAACTGGCAGCCCAAGAGTGGCCCTGTGTTATTAAGGTCAGAGCCAGAGAGAGATTAAAAACCTCTCTTTCCCTCCCACACCTTATCAACTGATGAGCTTGAAAGTAAAAAGTGAAGTCTCACACACGGTGCAGGGTCCAATGGAAAAGGCAGTGGTATTTCTCATTTGAGGAATTTATTTGGCCAGCCCACAAAAAAGATTTGTCTTTCCATTTTGGTTGAGGAAAAAAGAAAAAAAGTAAAAAGCAGTCCGAAGTGTAAAAGTATTTAAAAGGTTAAAGCAAATAGTGAGAAAATGTTCCACTGTGAGATACACTACCAGTCAAAACCTTCTAATTTAATGGTTTTTCTTTATTTTTACTACTTTCTACATTGTAGATACATACTGAAGACATCAAGTATAAGAAGAAAGATATATGCAAAGAAAAAAATGCTAAATAACTCAATATGTCCTATGTTTTAGATTCCTGAAAGTAGCCACCCTTTGCTTTGTTGACAGCGCTGCAAACCCTTGGCCTTCTGTCAGTAAGCTTCATGATGTAGTCACCTGAAATGGTTTCACTTCACAGGTGTGCCTTGTCAGAGCTTATTTCTTGCCTTCTTAATGGGGTTGGGAGCATCAGTTGTGTTGTGCAGAAGTCAGGTTGGTGCACAGCTAACAGCCCTTTTTGACGAATGTTAGAGTTCATATTATGGCAAAAACCAATCAGCTAAGTAAAGAGAAACAACAGTCCATCATTACTTTAGGAAATGAAGGTCAGTCAGTCTGGAAAATTGCTAAAACTTTGAATGAGGAGACTGGTGCAAATCAGGCCTTTATGTTCAAACAGCTGCTAATAAACCACGACTAAGGAAAAGCAACAAGCAGAAGAGTTTGTTTGGACCAAGAAACATGAGGAATGGACATGTGATGAAAACCTGATGGAAGACCTGTGCTTTGGTCTGATGAGTCCAAATTTGAGATCTTTGGTTCCAGCTGCCTTTGTGGGACGCAGAAAAGGTGAACGGATACTCTCTACACGCATGGTTCCCACCGTGAAGAATGGATGAGGACGTGTGATGGTGTGGGGGTGCTTTGCTAGTGACACTGTTGGGGATTTATACAAATTGAAGGCACACTGCCACAGCATGGCTACAACAGCATCCTGCAGCGACATGCCATCCCATCCGGTTTGCGTTTAGTTGGACCAACATTTATTTTCAATACGACAATGACCCCAAACACACCTCCAGACTGTGTAAGGGCTATTTGAC